GCACTTCAGAGCCCATGTCAGAAGGGCCCTCTTCCCAGCCCTGAGGTTTAGGGGGTCCGTGTACTACTCATCAGTGGTAGGAGTGTTCAGGCAGGGGAGTCCCCAGTCTGCCCAGCTTTGCTGTGTCCCCATGAGAGTCTGTACTTGCTTCGGACACCTCCTGACACCCCCTTTATCTCCTGCAGATGACGACGCCTTTGAGCCTGAGGAGACTGGCCTGCCAACCCCAGGAGATAGTAGCATTGAAGGTGCATTGCCCAGGTGCCTGGAGCAGCCTCTGCCTCCTGCTGGGACCTCTCTGGCAGACCTGGAAGACTCCACTGACAGCAGCAGCACCCTCCTTGTGCCCCCTGATTCTGCACAGATTGGTAGTGCCCCGGCTGCAGAGCCACCACCAGGAGGCAGCCATCACAGCCGTGGCTCCCTCAACACTGTGGTCTAGACAGCCCAGCCCAAAGCCCCAAGTGGGTTGGGAGCATCTCTTTGCTGTTGAGAAAACATCCATCCCTGCAGGAAACTTGGAGGGGCCCTGGAACAGCCTGGATCCCACTCCACTGCCACTCTTCCACCAGTGAGCCCATGTGTACATAGAGACTACAGCCAGCCTCCCTCTGGGAGCAAGCACCTGCACTGTTTCCTTGAGGGCTGCACAAACATGCATCGCTGCAGGTCACTGTCTCTTTAAATGGCAGAAGAATGGCAAATGTGTTCACATCACACATTTCAGAGGAAGGGAACAGGAGGCACTGGGCCATGCTCAAACCAATCTTGGGTTGGCTTGCTCACTGCACTGTGCCACTCAGATAATGTGGCTGGCTAGCCAGTCACCAACAAGTCACTGAGTCCTAGAGTGGGTGACGTGTGAGGACCTCTGCAGTGCATCCTATGGTAGCTGCCCTGAGGGCTGCCTGCAGACCATCAGTGTTGATGTAGGGGGTCTGTTTCAAGTAGACAGCCCAAGAGTACAGCATCCTCTGAGGATGGCCTCTAGTGCAACAGGGGACACTGAGGTACCTGAGGTGCTGAGTCGGGGCTGGAAAGAAGTTGATCTCCCTGCCCTCTCTAGCTGGGCCTTGCAAGCCTGGCCCCATAGCAGGAGGCCCCCGCCCACCCCTTTCATCCCTATGGCATTGCTCTGCATGGCTCCCCCAGGAGTCTGGACCTCTCCCGAGGCCTGGGCCACGCTGGCTCCTCTCTGTCACTCTGGAGCCCTGAGACCTTGCCTCCTGTTGAATGGCCCCCAGGTCTGAGGCCCTGTCCCCATCTTGTTTGTGCCATAAAGGATTATTTCACTGGGAGAGGGGTGCAAAAAGGAGCATCCAGGGCCATACCATCTCCACCACTGGGCCCAGCGCCTGGTGGCCACATGCACGCTTCCCCACCCCACTGCAGCTCTGAGTGTGGGACCTTTTGCCCAAGGGACCCTGTTGCCTGCTGCAGGCAGGGGTCTTGTCTCCTGACATGGACCTTTAGCATTTCTGAGGTTTGGAGATGAAGCGGGTTCTGTGCGATTTTTAGCACATCCATATCTTTTCTACGTTGAATGTCTGGATCTTTTCTTTTGTGTGCGTCCATGTGTGTCTATTTGTGGCCAAATGTTTTCAAATAGTGGTGGCTCCCAGGACCTCCGTGGAACCCCACTGTATGGGGTCAGCTGTGTCCGTGTGGGCTGCTGTGAGGCAGCCGTGTCTGAGCCTTTGCCTTTGGCAGTGGTTACTAAGGAATCTGGGTAGGAGGGTTGATGTGGGTCAGTCACATGGTGCCCACATTCTCACACTAGCTGGAGAGCCCCAGAACTTCATCTCAGAACTGGTGGGAAGTTTATGGTTTGTCACTGAGCAGCCTGTCCCTAGGCTTGGCCCACAGGAACTAGATGCTGCTGGCAGTACTCCCCTTGCCAAAAGGCACAACTTCCTTCCTATCACATGGCGGCCACAAGAGCCTCCCCTTTACTACAGAGGCCAGAGCAGGAAACCTCTCATACCTCTGGCATGTTCTGGGTGCTGGACAGCCAGGCTCCAAAAGGGCAGTCAAGTCTTATTAGTGTCTAGAGATTTATGAGGGTCCTGAGGGCCACCCCAGGAGAGCCAGTGGGAGCCTGGCCCCACAGCTGGAAGGGCCTTACCAGGCCTCAGCTGTTTATAGGGCCAGGCAGCCGTTAGGTGTATGAAATAGTAAGCTTCCTTTGGGGACCTAAGGACGGACACATAGGAGGCACTGAGGAAGTGGCTGGCTTTCTTCGGGACTAGCAAGGGTTTCTGTCCAAGGAGTTCTCAGGGTTGCCGGGTGATTCCCTCCCCTGGGAAGCATCAGGCCTCCCCAGGGTGCTCAGCCCACCGGCTCCTGAGGCCAGGCAGAGGGACCACTGCCCATTGCAGCTGCAGGCATGGGATCTGCTCATCTGTCCTCACCTTGCCATCCTGTCTGCTGCCTTGTCAAGAGCTAATTGATCCCAAGGCTAGCATTTGCAGAGTCGTGTTCTTGTGCGAGATGTGCCCAGTGCCAGTCCCAGAGGGACAGGCCAAGCCCCTGGGAGGCCCCACCCCTGGACTCCCTTGCCACTGTTTCTGAGACCAGGTGCCCTCTGACCTGCCTGGAGGTAGAATTTGATACTGTACATTGTCTCCATGCCTGTTTTTATGTTTTCCTTTCACTAAGGGTTTTAGTTTGGGTGTATTTTTGGTCGGGTTGGCACTAATCCTTTTCTTAAGATGCTGTGAGAACCATTTCATCCAAATGCCAAATAAACGTGTTCTGGAAGAGGTGTGGTTGATCCTTGGTGTGAACCAGCTCCCCATGGTGGCGGCAGCTAGGGCACCGTTTTTCAGCTGGATAGAACACCCCCTGATGTCCTTCGGCTGAGGACCAGGTGGAGCTGAGCTTGGCGCCTTTGAGCAGAGTATACAGTGAGAGGGTTGGCCCTGTGTTCAGCTGCACCCCCTGGCACCCAAACCCTGTGCCTCAGAGAATGCTGCTTCATAGGGGGTCCACACTTGTGGACTTCTCTTTCTGTTTAACTAGGCTGCTGTGTCATCTGACTGTAGAGAGCCAGTGTGAGGAGGGGTGTATATAAAGGAAGGCTTAGGACTTGGCCTAGACTTTTTTCTAGTCTCTCTCCTGGTAGCTGTAAATATTCCCTCCCTGCAGTACAAGTGATCTGCCCTGCAGTACAAGTGATCTGCCTCTTTCGGGCCTGTTCTGAAGCCCAGCCAGAATATAGGTCTCAGGATGGGGGGAAGATGGGGGGGGTATGGCTATAGCCCCAGAGAGCTGGGATGGCGCATGTCTCTACCTCCTTAATGTTTATGATATGGACGGAGCTCCCTCTGTGGGAGTCATCTCTAAAATAGGCTGGACATTCTTGCTTTTTCTGGCAGAGTCCTGTAGCACTAGAAGAAGCAAGAGTCAATGATGGGCTTGACTCTCTGTTAGGGCTCAGTTGGTGGGAAGTGGGGGAGCCAGGCCCTACAGCACACAAAGGAGCTAAGGCCACAAGCCCAGCTGAGTTGTAGCCCTGAAGCGCTCACAGGTTGAGCACGAGGAGCCTAGTGGAAACTGACGGGGAAATCTTGGACTCTTGGGCTCTACTGTCTTATCCCACTGCTGTACTTCCAATAAAATACACCCAACTCATGATAGGAAGGAAGGGTCCTGGGTGACATGCCCTAGGAGGGACCCCTCAGGCTCACTTCCCTAACCTCACTTTTCTCCACTGGGAGGTGCTGTGATAGGCCAGGCTATGCAGCGGGAGGGGGAGACAACTAGGCTGAGTGAAGGTAGTAAACTGGAGGCAGGATGTGGAAGGGCTTAAAGGTTAGGAAGAAACTTGAGTCCTTTGACGGGGATAGAAGCGTCATTCTGTCATTCCTAAACTGATGCTGGTGGCTCATGTCTGTAATCCTAGCTACTCAGAAGGCTGAAATCTGAGGATTGCAGTTCAAAGCCAGCCTGGGCAGAAAAGTACCCATGAGACTTAACCTCCAATAAACTACTCAAAAAAGCCAGAAGTGTCTGTGGCTCTAGTGGTAGAACACTAGCCTTGAGCACAAAGAGGCTCAGGGACAACGCCCAAGTCGAGTTCAAACCCCAGAACCAGAAAGGAAACAAAAACAAAAACAGCTTCATCTCTTTGCTAGAACACATCTGTCATGGCTGGTAGGGATTCCTTGAGCCATGCCAACACCATGGCCATGCCTGAACCCCTTCACTAACATTGGAGAAGCTTGACACCTAGCAGTTTTCCCCAGGGGGAGGGATATCAAGGGCCTTGCATGTTCCAGGCAAGCGCGCTCACTGAGCTGCACAGGAAACTAGAAAGCTGTGGCCTATTCTCCAGCACTGAAAACTGCAAGCACACCCAAGTTGAGCTGACACCCACAGGTACATGGGTGTGCAGTGTGGAGCTCTCTCCAGGCATGTCTCCTCTCCTGGATACATTGAGCAGCAGAGGAATCACAGACCACTTTCAAAAGACCGCCACCTAGGCTCAAGCCCAGGCCTCTGCAACTGCTGCCCACCTGTGCCAGGCAGGGGCAGAGCAGGAGAGGAACAGCTTCCCTGGGATCCTTGGATAGGGTAGTTCTTGCAAAGAGATGTCAGTAGGAAGAAGGTTGTGGTCTTGGGATGGGGTTAGTGTGAGAAATATCCACATATACCCTACCACCGTTGCGCCTGATGACAACCATTTTAACTAACTTCCTTGCTGGTGACTTTAGCAAGTCACTCCTGATCCCATCTCCATTTCCTCTATAAACAAGAAGGGTAGGCACACACACACACACACACACACACGATTAATTCTGGGCAGTATTCTGGCTTGCAGCACATGCTGGAGTGTAGCCCTAGGATCAGAGCGCATGCCTGGTGAGTTTAGAGCACTCCCTGGTGGCTGTGCTTGAGTACCACCCACTCCCACCCTACCCAGGACTGTCCCCAGTTAGCCACGCCTCTAGCCCACCCCACTAATAAATATGTAGCAGTCTCGCTAGCAGCCTGGCTCCAAGGTTTTCCGCCGCTTGCTAGTTCTCCCTAGTCACAGCTGCTGTGGCACCATGCGGGCCCTGGGTTTCCTGCTCTTTTTCCTTGAGGTGCAGCTGGTGGTGCGATCAAACTCTGAGGGTGAGCACCATAACCTTACTCATCTGGTCTCCAATCTACCCAACCCTTTGGTACTCTCTGCCACCCACTGGGTCCTACTGGGGGTGGTGGGAGGGGGAGGTAGTTTCAATGACAGGAAAACAGGTTCTGAGCCAGACTACTGGGTAAGCCTGCTTCCCACTCCTGGACCCTGGCTAGGAAGGAACTTGAAGATCCAAATGGTCTCTCAGCTCACTCTCCTGCTCACTGTCTGCAGATGCCTGGTGCTACGACTCCCAGGACCCCAAATGTGGTAAGGACAGTGTTGTATGAAGCTGTGTGAGATTGGTCTGTGTCCTGAAGCCACTAGAGGGGTTCAAACGTGGCTATCATACTTCCAGGGTCTCTGCAGGCTCCTTGGTGTTCCACATGTGACTCTTCTTTGTGTGTGTCCTCATTTGCTGTGATCCCTACTCCTACTCTTACTAGTCAGGGTCTCTGAGCCTATTGGTAAGGAGGAGGTACCCAATGAAGGTTTGTAACCATGTGCCAGAATATTCTATTCTGTCTTGCTGTGGGCCAGTGGGTTTACAGATTTAGTGACTAGGTCAGATGTAGGCAAGAGGTGGAGAGGTGACCTGTCCAGAGACTAGGACTTCCCCAAGCCTCGGCTATTTTGGGGGTGTGTGGGGTCCATACTCTGAGATCCCTTCCAAGCTAACTTCAGATCTTATTTTCTCAGGCCCCACCCATTGGAAAGAACTAGCTCCTGCCTGTGGGGGCCCAACCCAGTCTCCCATCAACATTGACCTTCGTCTGGTCCAGCGGAACAGCACACTAGGACCTTTCATCTTTCGAGGCTACAACTCGGTACCTCCAGGCCCTTGGACTCTAGAGAATGATGGCCATACAGGTCAGCATCCTGGAGTCAGGACCTCCCTTACCCCACAGACCATGGCAGGAACTCCACACACGCTTAAAAGAACTCCCATGGCTACACAGAATCAGAGCACTCACACAGGAGCTGAGACATCAAACAGAGATCAAGCTACCCACCGAGGTTACAAACCTCTGAGTCACTGATCCCCACACATGGGCTAAAAAGCTCTATACCGCTTCCATAGGAATAACAACTTCCACAAGAAGGCAGAACTTCCACATACAGTGGCCAACACATCTCTCTCCAATAGGTGTCAGAATTCTCTCTACAAATAAAAACTGGGTGAGCACTGAGCTCATGCCTATAATCCTAGCTACTCCAGGAGACTGAGATCTGAGGATCACAAGTTTGAAGCCAGCCTGAGCAGGAAAGTCTATGAGACTCTGTATCTCTAATTAACCACCAAAAAAGTAGGAGTGTGGCTCAAGTTGTAGAATGCCATCTCTGGGTGGAAAAAAAGCTAAGGGACTATGCCCAGGCCCTAAGTTCAAGCCCCAGGGTTGGAACACACACACACAAAAATAATTGACTTTGGCCCCTGAAGACAGGACACACAACAGTGGGAATCCCCCTTCCCCTCAAGATCAGTTCATCTAAAAAATTTTAACCGCTCCACTCCATATAGCTGGAGCCATGTCCCTCCCTTGCCCAGCTGGTGGTCCTGCGGTTCAAGCAGGGAGAAAGCCAGCGTCATGTGTGCTCCCTTTAGTGCTGCTCCACGTGGATGCTGGTCTGCAGGACCACCTGGAGATTCGGGGAGGAGGGCTGCCCTCACCTGCCTACCGGCTGCTGCAGCTGCATTTCCACTGGGGAGCCTGGAGGCACACAGGCTCCGAGCACAGCCTGAATGGGCAGCGGCACTCCATGGAGGTGGGATGCTAGGGGGAGGGCTACATGGAGCTGAGGGAGGTGGGAGAGGGCAGTCAGGCACCTCCTAGATCTTCACCTCCCCAGATGCACCTGGTCCACATGAACATAAAATACCAGAGCATGGCAGAAGCACGAAGCCACGCCAATGGGATTGCAGTGCTGGCAGTGCTGCTGGAGGTGAGAGAGGAGCCTGGCAACTCCATGTGTGTGTTCAAAAAGGGGTTCTCTAGTTGGGTATGAATGGCTCACACCTGCAAGCCTAACTATTCAGGAGGCTGAGATCTGAACATTGAAGCTCAAAGCCAGCCAGGACAGATGCATCTCCAATTAGCCAGCAAAAAGCCAGAATTGGACAGACACTGATGGCTCACACCTGAAATCCTAGCTAAGGAGGCTGAGATATGAGGATTGAGGTTTAAAGCCAGCCCAGGGAAGGAAAGTCTGTGAGACTCATCTCCAATTAAACACCAGAAAACTGGAAGTAGCACTGTGGCTCAAAATGGTAGAGGGCTAGCCTCAAGCAGAATATCTCAGGGACAGCTCCCAGGCCCCTGAATTCAAGCTCTATGACCAAAAAAAAAAAAAGGCTGGAAATGGGGTGTGGCACAAGTGGTAGAGCATCAGCCTTGATCAAAAATGCTGAATGAGCAGGAGGTCTTGAGCTCAAGCCCAATACCTGCACAAACAAAACCAAAATCAATAAGGGGGTTCGAGTGAGGCCGAGGTATCAGGGTGGGCCTTTGGCATCTCTGGGGGGTAGTATGAAGAGTGCTTCTCAAATCTATAAAGTGCTAGGCACCAGTGGCTCACACCTGTAATCACAGCTACTCAGGAGGCTGAGATCCTAGTTTAAAGCCAGCCCAGGCAGGAAATCTGTAAGACTCTTCTCTCCAACTAAGCACAAAAGACCAGAAGAGGTACAGAAGAGCTGTGGTACAAATGATTAGGTGCTGGTCTTAAGCACCTCAGCCTGAGTTCAAGCCTCAGGATGGACGTGCGTGTGGACACACACACACACACACACACACACACTATTTATAGGGTTTGTGGAATTTAAAGGATTCCATGGGAAGGGTAACAAGGGGAGGTGGCTTTTTCTAGGTCAGTGAGGGTAACCCATCATTCCTGGAAGCTTTCTTCTAGAAACGTCTCCCTGCTCCCAGTGTCCCTATCTTTGGAGACTCCCTCATTCAGAGACCCTCATTGAAATCCTCCTTCCCAGGAACAGGACCTTGAGAACCCCAACTTCTCTACCATTGTGGCCAGCCTGACAAACGTGTCTTTACCTGGTGAGGAGCAGCACCCACTTGGGCTGGACATTTCTGGGGGTGAAGGGCAACAACATAAGACAGCAGATTCCAATCTCTTCTCCCCTTCTCTGTCCAGGGGTTTCAAATCTGACATCCACCTTCCCACTGGCCTCGTTACTGCCAGGCACCTCTGGACTCTCCAGATATTACCGCTACATGGGGTCCCTGACCACCCCAGGTTGCGAGCCATCAGTGCTCTGGACAGTCTTTGAGAACACTGTTCCCATCGGACGCTCCCAGGTGAGGCCATGATCACGGACCACTGACCACCATGGTGAGCCAGGGCCCTCCTGCTCACAGCATCACCCCTTCCCTGCCTATGTCCTTCTTGTCTTGACCAGTCTTTTCCTTGAACTCTTAGGTAGCCCAGTTCCAGACTGTGCCCCAGACCCAGCTACCAGGTTTGCACCCCAGGCCGCTCACAGATAATTTCCGCCCCCAGCAGCCTCTTGGGGGTCGCAGGATCTGGGCCTCTCCCGGAGCTTCCATCCGTGGTGCAGCAGGCCCATCCTCCAACCACACTCAGGGAGGGTTGCACTGGGTTCTGCTGGGCTTGGGGCTCAGCCTGTGGCTCTGGCATGGCCCCTAGGATCCAAGCATGGCAATAAAGAAGGCTTAGAGTGACTCTGGCCTATTGTGATTGGGGAAGGGGCTGGGCTGGGCTAGGCTGAGTTGCCTCCCTCCAGGGAGGATTCCTGCCCCAATCCCTTTAGCCTCAGTTTACTGTCTGTATAATGAGGAGACTCCTGGGAGAGCCTTCGTTTCCCCTACCACAGTCAGCTGGTACCCTCTACCCAAATCTCCAGGACCACCCCTAGATCCTTCCAGAGTCACCTGGTCAGATGGGAGGAAAAAAGACAGAACATCTTAGAAAAGCCTGTCACATCTGCAATCCTAGCTCCTCGGGAGGCTGACTCAAGGTTTGAAGCTAGCCCAGGCAGAATCTGTGAGACTTCATCTCTAAAATAGTCATCAAAAAGCAAGGCTAGAGGTGTGGTTGGAGCTGTAGAGTACTGACCATGAGCAAGCTGTGGGAGAGCTTGAGTCCCTGAGTTTAAGCCACAGTACTGGCAGAAAGAGAGACAGAGACAGAGAGAAGGAGGAAAGTAGGGAGGAAGGAAGGAAGGAAAGTAGGGAGGAAGGAAGGTAGGAAGGAAGGAAGGAAGGAAGGAAGGAAGGAAGGGAGGAAGGGAGGAAGGAAGGAAAGAAGGAAGGGGACACAGATCACAGTGGCTCACTGTGATCTGAGGATCGTAGTTCAAAGGCAGCCTGGACAGAAAAGTCTCTGTGAGACTCTTTTCTCCAATTAACCACTTAAAAACTGGAAGTAGAGCTGTGGCTCAAAGTGGTAGAGCACTAGCCTTTAGCAAAAGAGCTCAAAGACAGCACCCAGGCCCTGAGTTCAAGCCCCACGACCACCACCACTAACAACAACAACCCAACTTTATTCCAAGATCATACATTTTATTTAAAAACCAAGCTGGGTGGGGCTGGGAAGGTAGCTCAGTGGTAGAGTGCTTGCCTTGCATGCATGAGGCCCTGGGTTCGATTCCTCAGCACCACATAAGCAAAAACGAAAAAGCCGGAAGTGGCGTGGTGGCTCAAGTGGTAGAGCACTAGCCTTGAGCCAAAGAGCTGAGGGACAGCGCCCAGGCCCAGAGTTCAGGCCCCAGGACCGGACCCCCCCCCCAAAAAAAAACCAAGCTGGGTGATCAACCTAGGGATAATATGCCTAGTTAAATGACAACCCCAAGAGAGGAAGTAAAAGGTTACTGGTTGCAGACTCTGGTGGGCCAGGCTTCACAGTGTTACTGGCTCCTGGTGACAGCTAGCTAGCCAAGTGGTGAAGCCATGTCCCTGTACAGTCTGGGAAGTCAGGCTGTGGAGTGTTGAGTACAGAGCCACACTGTGGGGGAGATGCTGGCTTGTAAGCAACTGGTATAAGTGTCCTTTGTGTCACTGCCCAACGCAAACTGAGTCCAAATGACATAGAGTAAATGAGACTGTGCAGTGAGAGGAGAAAGCCCGCAGTCAGCAGAGTAAGGCAGGCAGGCTGGGCTGCAGCCCAGTTGATGCCATGTGGAGCATGTGTTGATGTATTGGGGTTGCACTGACTGCAGGCCACAGTGTCTCAGCCACCCACTTGCGCCACATCTATTACATCGTGTGTGGACATCTTGAATCCAGAAGCCCTAGAACTTTCTTATTTGTAATCACAACCCCCCACCCCTAGGAGTCAGATTGCAGACCCCCAAGCTATGCCTGCTGCCACTCCCTGGTCCCCCCAAAAAGGGCTCTATGGGCCCCGGCCAGCCCACACTCAGTTTCCAACGGTGATCATCTGCCCCTGCCCGCCAGAGCCATTCTCCGCCAGAGGACTGCCAGGCCGGGCAGCCTCTGCCCCCCACCCTCCAAAGGCACAAGCTCTGGCCAGTAGCGCCTGGAGTCTCCCTGTGAGCGGCGGAGAGGGCGGATCTGCCTCTGGGGATACCAGAGCCTTTCGGGCTAGCAGGCAACTTCTGCACCTCTCCCAGGTCAGCCCTAGGTGTGGCCATCCTCAATCTCCTCCACCTTGCTGGGCTCCGGGTGGCACTGGAGTTTTCTTATGGTTCTTGCGTGCTGGGACTCGATTGGCGCCGCCGTCGGTAGGGTCCTCAAGGGTGTCGTCCGCAGGTTTCGTGGCTGCCACGAAAGCGTTGACCGTGCCTAGAGCCCGTAGCAGGGAGGGG